CCATTATAGAAATGCGTAATAAAGTGGTGTTTTCTATCACGTTCGCACTTGTGTCACCAACATGTCTATTTATAGACGTGGTTTAAAGCAAAAAATGGTACATGTAATCAAATATATAAAGTACAGTATTTAAGAAACTTCGACAATACAATAATCAGTGTTTTCAATAATAACGATCAAATTGCTTAACACGACAAAATTTGGTGTCACAACTTCCCTCTATCATATACACCAGCGACACCGATGCCAGCTCAAAGTGGTTCTTCTGTATGTGTTTGAAATTTTCTTTTTCAACCACATTTATAAGCTACAGGTCGAATCAAGTCTTCAATTATATTAACAGATACATCTGTATCGAGATTTACATTTGCAGAAATCGAGTTTAACCTATTTTGTATTTCCTCGGTATATAATTTGCCCATGAATGGGTCATTTACCCTAGTCGTGAGCATCATGTGACTGACCGAGGCCTTGATTTTTGAAAATACCTGGTGTATCACAGATTTATTCGGTTAGGTACGGTAAGGTTATATAAAACAATATTGTTTTTGTCCCTTCAGCATGCTTTGTTGCCATTGGTTAAAAAATATTGCACCTTCTTTTAAAACGTCATTTTAGCAATTAAAAATTATTTAAGGTTATCATAATTTGGTAGAAACAAATCAAAGTACCATACATTGTGTTATACCAATATCTCAAAAGTTACTTCTGGCTACTTGAGTGCACATAGCAATCAGTGATTCTTAGTATAAATTGCTCAAACCATGACAACTACCACTTTCAGCAATATTTCGCTATAGTTTCTCCGAGTAGAATTCATGATACCCATCTTGCCAGCCACAGCGTGCCCCCCCCCGACGTTCAATTCTGCTTGCCAACTACACTTGATAGCACTGGATCATCAGGTATGTAATGCCTCCCTATCATGTCTAACCATTGCATTATCATTTTTATGACCATCTGGGCAATGTGAGGGGAATTTATGTCTCTCATCATGTATATGCTTTTAAACTCATCCAAAATTATTGTCACCCTGTGCGTCAGGTTGGCTTTTAAGTCACATCAAAGCCTATTTTGAGGTAGAGCTAAAATAAACATGTCGGGTGATTTGTAACCATTGTTGAGTTTCGGGAGAAATGTTTGATAAATACCTTACTTAGATTCTATTTAGACAATTGTCTCATGCAATCCGGACGCTTTTTAGGACTGAAAAGGCAAGTTTCAATAAGATGTGCACTAATGAAAATGAATATTACAAAAAGTGCTTTATTGGATTGACCATTTCTGCAGTGAAAGTGACTGATGCCAGAAATCAAGGGCTACTAAGCTATCATTTGTGCAATTCAAAGACATTGTAATCGTCACACTAGTTCACAATAGCAATGGATAATTGAAATGGGATTTTCATTCAGTTTACGTGCTGGAAAAAGAGAAATACCATTCTTGCTTTAAATAATGGTACAAGAATGGTTTTTAGCCTTCGCAGACGAAGGCTGCCGAAGGTTTATAGATTGGGTTCTGTCCGTCCGTCCGTCCGTTCGTCTGTCTTTTACCTTTTATAACTTTGATATGCTCTGTCCAATATTTTTTCCAACTTGGTGCAAATGTAATTCTCAATGCCATACATATGCACGCCAAGTATTTGTTTGATTCGCCAAAGTTTCATTGTGTTTTTCAACATTTTACAAGTACAAATGCCGAAATTTGCCGGGAAAATCCGAGTTTTAACGACATCTCGCAAGAGAACTGACCGTATTGCGTATTGCGCATGCGCCAGTCTAACGCTGAGAAAATCGGCGTCGATTTCGTCTGAGGATATTATTGTATTCCGGGACTGTATCTTTCTTTGCACAAGGCTTATATAGATTAAATCTCAAAGGTAAGAAACTGTGCTTATGGTATTTATTATGAACTTTTATTTATCCTTTTGTGTCCTGACTTTAGTGAGAAACTATCGATCGCACAGTGTCACCACAGGCGCTCGGAACGTTTCCTGGATAATATAAAATGACCTAAAGTGGGATCGGCAATAGTTAGTCAGTCGCCGGTAAATGTCCCTACT